ATTTAATAATTTAATGTTGCAGAAAATCATGTACTTCATCAGCCTAGTTCTTGAAAATCTTGCCCTTTCGTCAGATGACAATGAAGATCTTATCTACTGCTTGAAGGTGAACATTCAGTGACTCCACGATGTTTGCTATAGAACATTATCCATATACTGGTTTCGTCAAGATCTATCATTCTTGGCTTATTTAAATGAGTCTAACTTACCTTTTCCACTCGTATGGCCAGGTTTTATACAAAATTTAGATCCCTCTACTTCTTCTAATGGCTACAGGTCCATGGTAAAAAACGTGAAGAATTTAGACTAGATGCATGATTCTATTATACTGCTTTTTGCAGGGATGGAAATTTGCCCTTGACATGTTCAAGAGCAAAAAAGATCATTGGGCTCTGTATGCAAAATCTGTTCTCGACAGAAGCCGACTGGCACTGGCAAGCAAAGCTGAGAGGTACCTAGAAATTTTGCAACCATCAGCTGAGTATCTTGGATCTTGTCTTGGAGTCGATCAGTCGGCTGTAAGTTACACTTTCTATGACTGAACCCGTCCGTCCTTCCTCATAATTTCCCTGGAACATGAGATAGGTTTTAATATTCTCTTAAGCACTTTACCAGGTTAACATATTTACAGAAGAGATCATTCGAGCTGGATCTGCTGCAGCATTGTCGTCACTGGTTAACCGACTTGACCCAGTTCTTAGGCAGACTGCTAACTTGGGAAGGTTAGATGGCCAAACAACTGTGACAGATTAATATGGTTCTGTAGTAAGTTGTATCTAATGTTGCTGCATTTTCTCTTGATCAGTTGGCAGGTTATAAGTCCTGTAGAGGTCGTTGGATATGTCATTGTTGTGGATGAATTGCTCACTGTACAGAATAAAACCTACGACAGACCAACAATTATAGTTGCAAACAGAGTGAGAGGAGAGGAGGAAATTCCTGATGGTGCAGTTGCGGTACTGACGCCTGACATGCCGGATGTATTATCTCATGTTTCTGTTCGAGCAAGAAATGGAAAGGTAAAAATTTTCACCATGTTGCAAAACGGTTTCTGAATGCTTGTGGCCTGTTCAATAAACTTTGTCTGTATTTTCATTTGCAGATTTGCTTTGCCACATGTTTTGATTCTGGTATCTTATCTGATCTCCAAGCAAAGGATGGAAAATTGTTGAGCCTAAAACCAACCTCTGCAGATGTAGTTTATAGGTGATCATCCTTGGTTGCTGATTTCTGGAAACCTGAGCTGAGATGTGCTTGACAGATTATTAAGTAGAATTCTCTTAATTCATGTTGAGAATATTATGGAAAAAACAGCGTTCTTACCTATTTTTTCGTTTTCCTCAGCGAGGTAAACGATAGTGAACTTTCGAGTGTAAGTTCGGACAACGTTGAAGATGCCCCTCCGAACATTTCTTTGATCAAGAAGGAGTTTGCTGGTAGATATGCTATATCATCTGAGGAGTTCACAAGTGACTTGGTCAGTGTGAAATGTTATTGGATATTTACTTTCCCGTCTTTATATCTTAGTATTTTTCATCTTTGCATAATAAATTTCGAATATCATAAAGCTTAGATTTTGTATTTGAATTTACTCATGTTTGAATAACTGACTTCACGAGTCTGGGTAATTCACTCCCATTATCTTTTTCCAGGTTGGTGCTAAATCAAGAAATATTGGATATCTGAAAGGAAAAGTTCCTTCTTGGGTTGGTATCCCAACTTCAGTTGCGCTACCATTTGGTGTTTTTGAGAAGGTTCTCTCCGAAAAGGCGAATCAGGTATGGTAGTAAACCCTCTTAACTATTTGGGTCAACAAAATAGGAAGACACTTAGCTGAATTATATTTAGCTGTTCTTTACTGGTGGTCTTTATCTGGAGATATTTAGAGTAGAAATAGTTCCAATGCTTCTTAGGTTTTCTAGAGAATTTCTCAGAACATATCTTTAATCCACAAAGTATTGGTGCCTTGGTGTGCATGTCTAATGATTGTCATGAAATAGTTTCTGTCAAAACCAGTCTATCTTGAGATTTTGCTTATTCACTATTACCTTCACCCAACCTCACTTGTCACTCACTCTCTGGTGTGGCCAGGCGGTGAGCGAGAAATTGCAAGTATTGAAGAAAAGTCTTCATGAGGGGGACCAAGGTGCTCTTGCGGAAATTCGTAAGACAGTATTGGGGCTAGTTGCACCCGCAGAACTGGTATGTCAGACTGAACTTTTTGTTAGATCCTTGGGACACAATCACCTGTTGTTGTTGCTGCATATCTAGAATCTGGACTGCGGTTGTACATGTTCAGAACACAAGCTATTAACCAAAATATAGTTCACATTCAAGCCTTACACCTCAGCTGTTTGGCCCCTTCCTTTACCAAAGCATATCACCTTGCTTTTCATTGCTTAAGTTTGGCTGTTATCTCCTTGATGCCATGGCCCAAGCTTGATGCTTTTAATTCTAAATCGAAGTGCATATGTTCGGAAAACTCCTTTGTGGAAATGGGTAAAATGTAGAGATTTGCTAAGAGAAATGCCTCTGTAATGGTTGTGATGCTCAGGTTGAAGAACTGAAAAGTACTATGAAAAGTTCTGACATGCCATGGCCGGGTGATGAAGGTGAACAGAGATGGGAGCAAGCTTGGGCAGCAATTAAAAAGGTCAAATCTTGAAGTAAGGTACAGTGCTGCTTAACGTGAAAACGGCAAATTTCACTAATCGGCTACCTAAATCTCAGGTCTGGGCTTCGAAATGGAACGAGAGAGCATACTTCAGCACGAGGAAAGTAAAGCTGGATCATGACTATCTCTGCATGGCTGTTTTGGTCCAAGAAGTCATCAATGCGGATTATGCGTTTGTCATTCACACAACCAACCCATCTTCTGGAGATTCATTAGAGATTTACGCCGAGGTACAAGATCTTTATTTCCCCCTTCATCTTAACTCTGAACCGGTGCTTCTTCCAACTTTGCTTGACTGTTGTTTTTCGGTTTCAGGTTGTCAAAGGCCTTGGGGAAACTCTTGTAGGAGCATATCCCGGTCGGTCTCTGAGTTTCATCTGCAAGAAAAACAACCTCGATTCGCCTCTGGTACTAAAAGCTACCCATTGGTGTTTTCTTGTGTAAAAACTGCAAAAAGGATATTGTCAATCCCGTTTATATCATTCTCGCTGATGAAATTTAAAACATCATTCAGGTATTGGGTTACCCGAGCAAACCGATTGGGCTGTTCATAAGACGTTCCATCATATTCAGATCTGATTCGAATGGAGAAGATCTCGAAGGTTATGCAGGTGCAGGTCTATACGACAGGTAATATTAACAAACAGAAAACCTCTTGTCATTGTCTTGATTTCACTATTTTAACAACACTTGAGCAACAATGAAAGTACTTCGCCTTCCGTCTTTTGCAGTGTACCAATGGACGAGGAAGACAACGTCGTGCTCGATTACACAACAGATCCACTGATCACTGACGAGAGCTTCCAGAAAAAGATTCTCTCAGACATAGCACGCGCCGGAGATGCCATTGAGAAACTGTATGGAACCGCACAGGACATTGAAGGTGTGATCAGAGATGGGAAGCTCTATGTCGTCCAGACACGACCACAAGTGTGATCAAATTCTCCCACCACTTCTCATCAATGTGTACGTTTACGGTTCTTTGTCCAGTGAACTCTTCTTTGCTCTATAAGCAAAGAGTATAAAGCATAAGCATATTGATTACAGAAATGTGTAATACAATAACATATGGCATTACCATTAAGATATAACAAAAAAAAATTGTTATTGGAGTTGTTGGGTGCAGTGCAACTGACCACTCTAGCTTTTGCATCTTGTAGTTTTGAAGTTAAGAGTGGAACTGAAAACTGCTTGTCGTTTCAGTGGTCAAGCAAGGGACTACTTAATGTTTTCCTTTATGAGACTTAGGTAACTCGTTCTCTTATTCCAATTCTAATTAACTGAGTCAAGTTATATAGACAAGGTCGAAATTGTAAATAAAATGTATATAAATAAATTTGGCAATTTTCACGAAATATGATGCAATTTAAGATGAATCTTTTTTTTGTTTCTATGTTAAGTTAACAGCCAAATGATATCCACCAGTCTCTTTGACTTTATTATTGTTGGTTTCTACTAATTTAATGTTTGTATTGGAATCTCACGAGTGGCCTTCTCTGAAACCAACCACCATTTTCAGTTGTTCAGTTGATAGAATTATAGAAATGCATATCGATATTTAAAGCACGCAAATTCATGTGTGTTTGTTTATAGAAATCACAATAATGTGTAGAGATCACACTGTCAGTTTGACCAAATGATCCAATGTGCAATAAATAATGTCATCCAATTGTGAATTGTAGAAAAATC